ATTCCCGCTCCCGGCCACCGCAGCCTCGCCTGCTGGGCTCAGGCGATCCTTCCGCCTCAGCCTTCCAAGTAGTTGGAACTACAGGCGCGCACTATGCCTGGCTACATTTTGATTTATGGTAGAGATGAGGTCTCGCCAAGTTGCCCAGCCGGGTCTCAAACCCACGGGCTCAGGCAATCCGCTCACCTCAGCCTCCCAAAGGCGCAGAATTACAGGCTGAGCCACCGAGCCCGGCTAGCTTTCTTCTTTTTAATGGTAGAGACAGAATCTCACTGTGTTCCCCAGGCTGGTCTCAAATTCCTGGGCTCCAGTGATCCACCTTGGCCTCCCAAAGTGCTAGGATGGCAGACGTGAGCCGCCGTGCCCAGCCGGACCTGGAGTTTACTTTGTGGGAAGACCCTCCATTAGGAAGTGAAGCCTTGAGCAGGAAAGTGCTGTGGAACTGTTCTGTGCCCTTCTGCTCAGCTTTGGTGCTGGCGTCCTCCACAGGGTTGGCTTGTCTCCTCAGCTGTTGGAGCTGTTGGCATGCCAGTTTCCATATCGTCCCCTATTTTCCTTTTCTCCGTGATACCGCTTTAGTGGCCCTTTTGTGAGGTGGTATCAGGACCTGTGGAGGGTCTGTGCGTTGTGATTGGCTGGCTGCTTTGTTCCTCCATCCGCAGGACCCACTTGCAGTATGTTTTGGGATTAGTTAATTCTCCAGATAATAGTTCTCTTTGTTTCTAGTTGGTAAGTCACTTTTCAATTTCTGCTTTATTTTTTTTGAGTTGGAGTCTCACTCTGTCACCCAGGCTAGAGTGCAGTGGCACGATCATGGCCTCTGCAGCCTCGACCTGCTGGGTTCAGGTGATTCTTCCACCTTAGCCTCCCAAGTTGCTGAAACTACAGGTGTGTGCCATCACACTCGGCTAATTTTTTAATTCACTATAGAGATGAAGTCTTGCCAAGTTGCCCAGGCTGGTCTTGAACCCGTGGGCTCAGGCAATCCTCTTGCCTCAGCCTCCCTAAGTGCTGGGATTACAGGATTGAACCACTGCGCCCGGCGGGGGTGTCTGTTTTTACACTTGAGAGTAGGCAGCATTTAGAAAAGCTATGGAGGTATGGATGAGGGTCTTTACCGTTGTTTCTGCCTTTCCGTTCTAGATGGGTCTGTGAAGAAATCCCGGATCTCAAGCTTGCCATGGAGAATTATGTTCTGATCGACTATGACACCAAGAGGTGAGCAGAGCCTGCCCTGCATTGTCCTGGACAGCTGCGCCTCGTGGGGATACAGCCTGTAATTAGCCCTTCTTGGACTACGGGCTGATCTGAAATTTCCTTTTAGAGTTGGCCGTGGCTGCCGGGAGGCTATTTTGGTACGGACTGTTTATCAGCTGTTGGCAGAGGCCGTCAGAGTGGGGCATCGTTGGAAAGGCTGCTCTGTGGTAGCATCGGGTTGGCATGTGTGAAGGCACTGCGTTAGCAATGGCTCTTTTTATAGTGGGTGCTGGTGGCCAGCAGGCAGTGTCCCCGCCCAGGGCTTGCCCGGCCTGCTCTGGTGTGTGGGTAGCTCGGCACACGTGGGCTGAGTCGTGACCATGTCTCCAGCTTCTGGCTGCCTCTGGCAGTTTCTTCCCAGTCCTGCCTGGGTCTCAGAGGAGAGCAGGCTGCCTCTGGAATGCGCCTGGAGCGGCTTTGTTGTTCTTGGAGAAGGGAGGAGGACATTCCAGGCCCATGCCCTCTGCAGCTCTTGGAGGCCTAAGGGCCTCAAGAACAGAGCTCCCTCCAGCGTGCTGGGTGGGCTCAGGTGAGCTCACTCCCAGCAGGCACGCCCGGGGCCCTGCCGCCCTAGTGGACAAGTTCCTGGGTGTCACCTGGTCACTGGTGTGTGTGGGAGGGACTTCTTTGTCCTTCTTTGGCCGCTGGTCAGCAGTTTCGGCCTCAGGAGCCCCAATCCTATCCCCTGCCCTCCACCCCAATCCCAGAGTCGGCACCTGGTGTTTCGACAAGAGTCAACTGGAGTGTGTCCGCCCCTTGCCTGGGCGGCCGGACCCTGGGGCTCAGCCGCTCGCTCGGCCCCTCCGTGCCACCTGCTGTGGACTCCATGCTGAACGCTGAGCCCCCACCCTCCGTTCTCCACGGCCCTCGGGTCAGTCACTTGCTGGGGCAGCTCCCAGAGCTCACGGAAGCTCATTGCCTCACTGAGTTCTGGGTCATGAGAGCAGGTGTGATGAGGGACAGTCACAGGCAAGGCGAGGACTGGGGACCGTGCAGGAAGCTGTCCCGGGTGTGCCGCTCTCCCTGCATGTTCCTCAGCCAGAAGCTTCCAGCCCCGTCTAGGGTGTTCTGGCGATCGTGTCACGTGGGTGCACGTGGGCATCAGCTCAGGTTGCAGCCCTCTCTCCCGCCAAGCCTCTCCTCACGTCCCATCCAGTAGCCCCCTGGAGTCGCCTCTTTGGAACACAAGATGCTTCCGTCTCCCAGGAAAAGCTCCCGGGGGCGAGGAGCTCTCTCCGGGCAAGAACCTGGTGAAAACCACATGTGCCTGTGCATCTCCTAGGTGTCACAGGTCACGGCCCCTGCGGGTGATACGCATCTCTGTGGTATCCTCGTCGCAGCCATAGGGGTTGCGGCCCATGGAAGTCGGGTGCATGTTGTGTGGTGTCCTCGTACAGTCCCCCAGACTCCTATGGCGTTCTGGGTCCTGGCTTCTGTGGTGGTCAGCCCCTTTCGTGGTCGTCCCATGGGGGTGAAACTGTGTCTCACGCACCTGTCAGAGACCTTGTGCTTGGAGCATACCTGTGTGGAGATAGGGGTCCTTCCTCTTTTAGTTCAGTCGACTGAGAAAAGGCTAGAAGGATGTCAGAGGCAGGAAGGGCTAGGGCTGGGCTCCCGTGTGTCCCATGCCCTCAGGCTCAGGCGTGTTGTGGGGGGTCTTGTTCTCTCCCCATGTTTAGCTCCAGGGAGGGCTGAGGCCGTAGCCTTGGGGTGATGGGGCTCTCTCCAGCCAGGGCGAGGAAGACCTCTGAGGCCTGCCGCCGGGGTCTGGGCGCCAGTTTCTGTTCGCTTCAGGGATGCAGAGTGTAAGGGCTGGCCTTGGTCTGCGTGACGCCTGTCACCTCCCGCTTGCTGGGAGCACCTGACCGTGCTTGATCTGTGAGCCTGGGCCCGTCTAGCTGAGGTGCACGGTGCTGTCATAGCCGGGGACTTCCTGGCCCCAATCCCAGCGGGCCCCTTTGCCTGTGCCTGTGTGGGGCCCCGAAGCTCCCCTCTTGGGAAGAACCCGAGGCTCCCACTGAGGGGTGGCAGCCGGCTGGTGCTGCTGGTTCCCTTCCCTGTGCCACCTCCTCCCGGGCCTAGGGCTGCTGGAGTGGTGGGTGACCGTGCATTCCCTGGCTTTTTCAGCTTCGAGAGCATGCAGCGGCTCTGTGACAAGTACAACCGGGCCATCGACAGCATCCACCAACTGGTAGGTGGCCTGGCCTCCCCTGGCCTGTCTCCTTGTGGGGGCGCTTATGTCTCAGGACACTGTCCTGGGTGGGCTTCAACAGTCCTGGGGCAGGTGGGCCACTCCAGCGCTCTTAAGCCAGCACCACGGAGTGGTGGGGGTTCCGCTGAGAACCCCGAGGGTTGGAGTGTGCAGGCAGGGTGGGAAGCGGTGGCCGAAGGCACACGTCCCTGTCGGGCTGCTGACAGCGTGGCTGGGCTTCTGGCTGCAGGCCATGAGCCCCTCGAGTCAGCTGGGCGTGGCCAGGCCTCGAGTTGCCTTCCAAGGTGGTTCCTGCGTGTTGTCTGGTGGCTCTCCTTCCCATCCCCATGGGCACTGCAGAGGCGGTGGTCCACGGCCTCGTGGGGATATCTGTCTCGGTGGTCTCTGTGGTCTCTGTGGTCTCACCATCGAGCAGGCAGGTGGCGGTGGGAGAAGACTCTTGGCAGCTGCTGAGAAGAGCTCAGCCCCAGAGTGGGCTGCTTCACCCCTCGTGGGAACTTGGGCTAGACTACAGATGGGCCACGTGGCTCATGCCCAGCAGGCTGTGGAGCCAGGGAGGCAAGGTAGACTCGTCGCCCACTCCCTCCTTTCCCAACTGCCAGCTGGCCCTGTGGAGGGTGCACATGGACTCTTTAAGCTTCAGAAGGTTAATCCCAGCACTTTGGGAGGCCACGGTGAGTGGGTTGCCTGAGCCCATGGGTTTGAGACCCGCCCGAGCAACTTGGCGAGACCTCATCTGTACAATAAATAAAAGATCAGCCGGGCATGGTAGCACGCGCCTGTAGTTTGGCTCCTTGGAAGGCTGAGGCAGAAGGATTGCCTGAACCCAGCAGGTCGATGCTCGGGTGCAGGGAGTGTGCCACGGCACTCCAGCCTGGGTGACGGAGTGAGACTCCAACTCAAAAAATAAATAAATTCAGAAGGGTAGCTGGGTGTGGTGGCTCACACCTGTCATCCCAGCACTTTGGGAGGCTGAGGCGAGAGTCTCGCTTGTGCCCAAGAGTTTGAGGCAGCGTAGGCAACATAGTGAGGCCTCATCTCGACAGATGATCAAAAGGTTGCCTGGACGTGATGGCGTCTGTGGTCGTAGCTACTTGGGAGGCTGAGGGTGGGGGGATTGCCTGCGCTCGGGAGGTCCGGGCTGCGGTGAGCCGTGCTCGGGCCGCTGCCCTCCAGCCTGGGCACCAGCAGGGTAAGACCCCGACTCACGCAGACGAAAGACCCCAAAGCACCAGCAGAGTAATGGCCTGGGAAGGGCACCCCGGGGGGGTGCAGGCAGGCTGCCCGGTGGCCTGTCACATGCGTGTCCCCACCTCGGTCCCCAGTGGAAGGGCACCACGCAGCCCATGAAGCTGAACACGCGGCCGTCCAACGGGCTCCTGCGGCACATCCTGCAGCAGGTTTACAACCACTCGGTGACCGACCCCGAGAAGCTCAACAACTACGAGCCCTTCTCCCCCGAGGTGTACGGGGAGACCTCCTTTGACCTGGTGGCCCAGATGATCGACGAGATCAAGATGGCCGAGGACGACCTGTTCGTGGACTTGGGGA